TACTTCTCTAAACATACTTCAACAGGAGCCAAGAAATTTAAATAAAGTGGAATAACATGCATCTATTTTGCACTACAACCTGTATCAAACTCCATCAGAAAACTAAAAATCTGATTAGTTTTCTGATAGTCACTTTCTCATTACCAGAAAGTTCTGGGATATTTCTTAAACCCCAAAGAATGCAGTTTCTTTAGAGCCTACACATGGTAGTTTGTCATGCTTTGGATGACACCATCACCAGCCCCTCAGGAGACAGCAGACTGCTGGGGCAGATGTGTAAAACAAATTAAAAGCTATCAGAACTTCCAGTTCTTTGCAGAGGATAAGCATCAAAGCAGCCAGGGTAGAGACTCACTCGTTTTATGCAGGCCCTGGTGATCTCTATTTGACCACTATCACTAACAAGATTTGAGAATTTTCTGGAGTCACTGCCCCAAATAAAATAATTACTTTTAAAAGATTAAAGAAGCCATTAACATGGATGGACTTTGCCTTAGCAATGCAATCTGTTCAGTGCTGGTGATCTGGCAAGGGCAAATAAAATTAGTCTGAGAACCAAGGAGAAAGACCGAGACCGCTGAATGCTGAGTGCAGTGCTCAAGCCCACAAGGACTTTTGAGGTGACAAGAGTTCCAGATGGAAGGGTCTATAGGCAACACTTGCACACAGCATTTTCTTCACGATTGAACTGGATATTTATGAAATTCTCAGCAAGAACCCCAAAGGTTTTACTAAAACAATTCTTAACCCTCAACAAAACTGAGCTCCCCCAGGAGAGGGTGGAGTTCAGAAAAACTGTGTTGAGCTTAGCGGTAGCTCAGGAGCCTTAACATAGTTTGGCACATTAAGTCCCACTTCTGAAATGGAGAAGCACCTGAAGAATCTATATGCTCTATATGCTCTAAGAAACATGCTTGAGTCCACTTGATATTAAATACAGCTTTTGTAATTTCTCAAGGAATGCTTGGGTCAAAATACAATCAAACTATTGCTTATATGAACACCTCTTGTGAAGGTGATAGCTCACAAATACCACATTGATGGTTTTGCAACATATCCAATGCAACTTAGTAATTTAGTCATAAATACTGAATTATCTTTAAAAGTGCTGTAGTCTACTGTAGAGATAGTTTGCATATTTCATGGAAGTTGGTCATAATAAAGGTATCAAATTTCACACCGACAAAGGTTAAGAAGACTGCCTTAAAGTTCCAAGAATCCATCCTACAATTTACAACTATATTTATAAAACAAATTATTAGTAATTAGTAAAAGAAGCAAATTAGTATTTACTTTTGTTTAAATGAATCCCAAATGAACTCAAAACTGGGTACAAAGACAATGTACTTATAGAGTTCATTAGTTCCCATTGCCATGGAAAATGTTATTTACAGTGAATTTCAAACCCAAGGTTAAACTTAAATATTTGACCGAGACAAAATTGCACCAACGCAGTTACATTTTCCACGCTGCAGTGCTATGAATCTTTGTTCTGTACAGACTTCTTGACAATCACAGTGAACAATGGCAGGAAATACACGTTTTGCAGCAATGCAAAATCAACCTCTCCCAAGTATTTTGTCATACTGACATCCTTAAAAAAATTTATTTTTTTGATCCAAAAATCATCAGGATTGATAGTAGTCAAAAAACAAGACCCACCCATTCCCAATCCCCAAGAAAACAAAATAATTTCACAACATGATTACTGGTGCACATTATGAAATTGTTATCACAGAATCACAGAATTTCTAGGTTGGAAGAGACCTCAAGATCATCGAGTCCAACCTCTGACATAACGCTAACAGTCCCCACTAAACCATATCCCTAAGCTCTACATCTAAACATCTTTTAAAGACTTCCAGGGATATGGGTGCATTGTATTCTGATTCGCATTCAACCTATAATCCATACAGTAGAAATTTATCAATTATCTCTTTAATTCCTTTCCTATCATCTATATCAAATACAGTAACAAACCATTTAAAAAGAAAAGCCTCCTAAGTCACAAATATGCACAGAAGTCTTCTATATTTATGAGAACACTATAAAATCTTGTTTATTTTAGTAAAGAGAAAGTAGAAAAATTTAACATTTAAACTCTGTATGGCTTAGAAGATGTGGTTCCCCTAACAACATACATGTACATGCTGAAAGGCACTAGAAGAATATGCTTGCTGTAACTTCCTGTAGTCAAATTTAGTAAATGCAAGAATGCAGAATTTTCATTCAGTTCTCTTGCACTGAAGCAATGTTATGCAACATTTGATTATATCCTCAATATCCTGCTTTACAAATTTTCAGAATGGGTAGGGGTCACCTAATAAGCCATTTTTCAAAGGCTCCTTTGGACAATACTATACAAGCGTGGCCCCAGGAATCTGACTTATTGTACTTTTTGAACCTCTTGAATGAAGGCTTAAGATTTTTTTCTTCCTTCAGTGGTCACCTATACAGTACATACATGTCTCAAAAAATTAATGAGCTTAGTTAAGAATACACACGTACAGTGTGCAACTACTAGTATTTTAAAGGGGGAGCTGATGAATACATATTAGCTTTAAATATCATCAATTAATTTTGAGTCCCTGCAGATTATTACAGTTTTAGAGGGTATTTAGTACCTAAAAACTTAAAGAATCATGTTACTTTGTAATCAATTTTCAGCAGCATGTTCAAGACAGACACTGTGGTGTCAAATCAAGAATATATGCCATAGTTCCACATATTTTTCTGTGTGTGTGGTAGCAAGGAACTATTTTCAGCTCCATTTATTTTGCTGCTTTTGTTTATTGATGGTCCCCTCAAGCAGTTCTGTGGACCCAGAATGGCAGGGGAGGAAGAAGCAGTAGGAAAGAAGACCAGCCTGGCTCAACAGAGAATTGTGGCTTGAGCTTAGGAGAAAAAAGAGGGTTTATAATCTTTGGAAAATTGGGCAGGCCACTAAGGAGGACTATAAGGATGTAGCGAGGCTGTGCAGGGACAAGATTAGGAAGGCCAAAGCTCATCTGGAGCTCAATCTGGCTACTGCTGTTAAAGATAACAAAAAACGCTTTTATAAATACATCAACACAAAAAGGAGGACTAGGGAGAATCTCCATCCTTTACTGGATGCAGGGGGAAACTTAGTTACAAGAGATGAGGAAAAGGCGGAGGTGCTTAATGCCTTCTTTGCCTCAGTCTTTAGCGGCAAAACCGGTTGCTCTCTGGATACCCAGTACCCAGAACTGGTGGAAGGGGACGGGGAGCAGGATGTGGCCCTCACCATCCACGAAGAACTGGTTGGTGACCTGCTACGGCACTTGGATGTGCACAAATCGATGGGGCCGGATGGGATCCACCCAAGGGTACTGAGAGAACTGGCAGAGGAGCTGGCCAAGCCCCTATCCATCATTTATCAGCAGTCCTGGCTATCGGGGGAGGTCCCAGCTGACTGGCGACTAGCAAATGTGACGCCCATCTACAAGAAGGGCCGGAGGGCAGACCCGGGGAACTACAGGCCGGTCAGTTTGACCTCAGTACCAGGGAAGCTCATGGAGCAGATCCTCTTGGGAGTCATCATGCGGCACTTGAAGGGCAAGCAGGCGATCAGGCCCAGCCAGCATGGGTTTATGGAAGGCAGGTCCTGCTTGACGAACTTGATCTCCTTCTACGACAAAGTGACGCGCTGGGTGGATGAGGGAAAGGCTGTGGATGTGGTCTACCTTGACTTCAGCAAGGCTTTTGACACCGTCTCCCACAGCATTCTCCTCAAGAAACTGGCTGCTCTTGGCTTGGACTGGCGCACGCTTCGTTGGGTTAGAAACTGGCTGGATAGCCGGGCCCAAAGAGTTGTGGTAAATGGAGCCAAGTCCAGTTGGAGGCCAGTCACTAGCGGCGTCCCCCAGGGCTCGGTGCTGGGGCCGGTCCTCTTTAACATCTTCATCAATGATCTGGATGACGGCATTGAGTGCACCCTCAGTAAGTTTGCAGATGACACCAAGCTAGGTGCGTGTGTCGATCTGCTCGAGGGTAGGAAGGCTCTGCAGGAGGATCTGGATAGGCTGCACCAATGGGCTGAGGTCAACTTTATGAAGTTCAACAAGGCCAAGTGCCGGGTCCTGCACCTGGGGCGCAGTAACCCAAGCAGAACTACAGGCTGGGAGATGAGTGGTTGGAGAGCTGCCAGGCAGAGAAGGACCTGGGAGTGATGGTGGACAGTCGGCTGAATATGAGCCAGCAGTGTGCTCAGGTGGCCAAGAAGGCCAACAGCATCCTGGCTTGTATCAGAAACACTGTGACCAGCAGGGCTAGGGAGGTGATCGTCCCCCTGTACTCGGCTCTGGTGAGGCCGCACCTCGAGTACTGTGTTCAGTTTTGGGCCCCTCGCTACAAGAAGGACATGGAGGTGCTTGAGCGGGTCCAAAGAAGGGCGACGAAGCTGGTGAGGGGCCTGGAGAGCAAGTCCTATGAGGAGCGGCTGAAGGAGCTGGGCTTGTTCAGCCTAGAGAAGAGGAGGCTCAGGGGTGACCTTATTGCTCTGTATAAGTACATTAAGGGAGGCTGTAGCGAGGTGGGGGTTGGCCTGTTCTCCCATGTGCCTGGTGACAGGACGAGGGGGAATGGGCTAAAGTTACACCAGGGGAGTTTTAGGTTAGATGTTAGGAAGAATTTCTTTACTGAAAGGGTTGTTAGGCACTGGAACGGGCTGCCCAGGGAGGTGGTGGAGTCACCATCCCTGGAAGTCTTCAAAAGACGTTTAGATGTAGAGCTTAGGGATATGGTTTAGTGGGGACTGTTAGTGTTAGGTTAGAGGTTGGACTCGATGATCTTGAGGTCTCTTCCAACCTAGAAATTCTGTGATTCTGTGAAAGAACTCAAGTCAGCGCTGCTGCCAAGGAAATATTATGTGCAACACAATTCCAGAGAAGTAGAAACATTCGTATGAATTTTGGTTTAAATAATGCATTTAGCATCACTGAGAAACTCTGCAGCATAATCAAGGATAAAATGCAACTCACCATGGTAGCTTCTACTTGCCAAAATACCCTTCTTTCCTGCATGCCTTATCTCATTTTGGTCAAGCAAATGATGCAGGCAACCACACCAGTATTCCCACTTTCTTCCTAAAGAAAGTACAAAGAAGTCAGCAAACAAATGGCAATTTACAGCAGCTGATAATCAGAAAAATAATGCTTATTTAACAAATGTATTGTTCACTTCCCTGTCCTTACCAAGGTTATTGCAATAGGAATCTTTCACTGTAGTCTTAAAATGGATTGCACCGTTCTGGTACGACAAAATGAACTGCTATGAAATATAAAAGCAAAAAACTAAGCCCAAAACAGAGCTTCCACAGTGACAGGTCAAATCCTGCAGTAGTTTAACAGGACAATGATACGGATGGTTTAGGAACTTAATTAGCATCCAAGCTTTACAAAGCACAGATAAATTTAATGAGTACTACTACATCATCTGTCAGCTCTATGTTGTCACACGCAATAGGCATGCTGTTAGCTTATTAATAATTTTAGCTGGTTTCTTTGGTTGGCTACACTTAATTGGGTGAAGAACTAGCTGGATGGAAGTTCACAAAGAGTCATAGTAAATGGAGTTGAATCCAGCTTGTAGCGGGTCACCAGTAGCATTCCCCAACGCTCAGTACTGGGCCAATTTTGCTCAACTTTTCTTTATCAATGATATTGATCAGGGGATCAAGTGTATCCTCACTAACAGACGATATCAAGTTAGGCAGGCCTGACTCAAAACTAGTGTGACCAGCAGGACTAGGAAAGTAATTGTCCCCTTGTATATGGCACTGGTGAGAGCACACCTCAAGCACTGCATTCAGTTTTGGGCCCCTCATTACAAGGAGGATCTTGAGATGGCCAAATGTGTGGACAAAAGACCAACAAAGCTGATGAAGGGACTAAAAAATAAGATTTATGAAAATAAGACTTATGATAAACTGATGAAGGAAAAAGGGTTGTTTAGTCAGGAGAAAAAGAGGCTGAGGGGAGACTTCATTGCTCTCTATAACTACCTGAAAGAAAGTTGCAGCAAAGAGGGTGTCGGTATCTTTTCTCATTTGAAAAGTGATATGATACAAGGAAACAGTCAAGTTGCACCATAGGATTTTTAGATTGGACATTAAGAACTTCTTCACAGACACGGTGGCCAAGCATTAGAACAGGCTGTCCAAGGAAGTGGTGGAGTCCCCATGCCTGGAGGTATTCAACAGATACGTGGACATGGCACCGAGGGATACTGTTTAGTGTTGTAGCTTGGTAGGTCAGGTTTATGGCCAGACTTGATCTTGAAAGTCTTTTCCAACCTAGATGATTCTATGACTCTAATTGTTGTCAATTATGAGACAAATTAAATTCTTGTTTTCTTTGCAAGGCCCTTATGTTCGGCATTTCAAAACAACTAAATGCCAGATGCTAATTCAGGGGGTGGGAGGGATGTTTACAGCTACTCACAGGAATGAGGTAGACAAGCCTCTGTTTCTGTTTTTGGTATGTTTACCTATTTAGGAAGGCAGGAGGCAACTGTCCAGCTGATTTTACTTCTGATTTCAAAGCTCTGGAGTGTCACGTGCCTGTGAGAATAGACAGAAGACCAGAACATGTTTTACTATCTTCAAAAGTAACACTGTAAAGTACTACTCTGCATCCATTTATTTTCCGCACTACTCACCCCAAAATCTCAATCTATACCACTATCATGAAGAAAGAATTTTTCTTTCTTTCTTTCTTCCAGCTTTGACCATTCCCAGGATAGTGAGAAGCCCTGCACTATGCCACTGTTAAGATCACAATAGTTTGTCCATCAAGAACTTCAGCCATAGCCCAATCAAATTTAGATTAAATTAAACTTTCATTAGCAAATAGAAACACAGAAAGGAAGTCTTCTGGAAGGACATGTTGTTTGACCCCTGACACACATTAATATGGATGCAAGGATCTTAAAAGATAACTTGACAAACCCAAATGGTATGTTGTAAGATTCATATTGCTTTACCATTGCAGAGATATATATATCATATGACAACTTGTTAGGAATGCAGTCCCCTTTACTGTTTGGTTCAGAGAACCAAAGACACTGTACCTCCAAATCTAGTTTAGACATCTGATTTTCCTCCAGTTTGACTGTACGTTCCATGTTGATGACAGAATTGAATGAATTACAACAGCTGATCCAGTACATTTAGTCCCTTTCTACTCATGAAATATTAACCTGCAGATTGAGATTTACAGATTTTGTTCAAAATATTTTATGATTTAAAATAAACGAATAACAGAGCAGTTGAAGATTGGTCTGAAATGATCCGCAATATTAAACTATGAATTATAGACTGGAGTGGTTCAAAACACTCTATGATAATCTTTTGATTCCTGAACGCACATGTAAGCATGCTGCACTTTATCAAGCATTTTATCTTATTTACCATTTAAAGATAATGAAAATGATGTTTAGCAATACTCTGACCAAATACAATTATTTCTGATCCCTGACTTCTCTATTAGGTACGACTAAACAAGGTCTTAAAACATTACATCTTGTGAAGTTTTTATGGCTATCATTCTTATATTTGCTTTCTCCCAAATCTTTGAATATTTTATTCCTCCTCCTAGTTAAAGCATATGACACTGTCTTCTCTATATACATTTTTCTTAACTCCATATATGTATATATATTTACTCATATTTATAGAAGCGAATACACATTTGTTACATACATTTTTTAATTAAAAACGAGACTAATGAATTATTTTTCTTTCTCTACTCTCTCTGCTATTTTTTTCCTGGTATATACATTGCCCCACAAATTTATTTCAATATAGCACACCTCCACTGGATATTTTGAAGCCGTAAGAGTCTGCCTGTTTTCCAGGTTCAGCAGAGTTTTTCACCAGTTTGCATGTGTCAACCACCTAACACGCTTCAGGGACTATTGAAGGCCAAGTTTCCAGTAAAATCCACAAATACAGGAAAACAGCTTTGGTAACTTGACTAGGAGGAGGTAAGCAACCTCCATATTCTTAGAGTATTGGGAAGTAGGAGCGCTCACACAATCTGACATTTAGGAGTGTAAAATGAATGTGTAACTCCACGCACATAGGCCCTTACACCTGCATTTTTACAAATGCCTGTTGAAGTCCATAGAAAAACTGTATCGACATTCTGACTAAGATATTGCACCTTTGATTCCCAGCAGTACAAAACCAATCAAAAATGCCAAATTCATTAGGTTTTTAAGAGATAGTCCAGATAGTTCTTTCACTCTTGCTGAGGCCTTTGTTCCAGACCTCTCAATATGACTCCCCAGACTCCAATTTCACTGTAGTGTTTACATTGTTATGTGCAGATCAAACAAGTACACACACTTATCTAAAATTCCCCTAGCTGAAGAATGGTGCTCCAGATCCTAAAGTTTGTCCGATTCCTTTCCACCAGCAACATTTCATTCACAACACACATCACCGTCACACACACGACCCATTGAGAACCAGTGGTGTGTCAGTAATGCCGTCAGCAGAAACAATGAGAGCCCAAGCCCGCTGCACTGCTTGGATGCCCTCACATCCTGCCAAACTGCTTGACACTCAAAAAACTCAGTTAACACTTCTAGAAAGAGCACGTGTGGAAGTACTAGTTATAGTCCTGAGTTCTGCCCATGGACGTGCCCATTTGTTCCTCTCAAGGGCCATTAAAAAGAGCTGGTTAAATTGCACTTTAGATATAGCCAGAAGAAAGCTCCCTCTAGATAGCAAAAACGTAAGCTTAAAAACAACAACAAAAAAAAGGAGTATGTAAGAGATTGTGAGAGAGAAAAATCTCTTCTGATATGTTTCCCTCCTGCTAAAACCATCCCTGGACACTTGCACACATCCACTGGATGTAAGACAGGCTGGGGAAATGAGAGGAAATGCACTGGTCTCATGTTCATCAGGCAAAACTCATGCAACAGTACAAACGATAGATAAGCAGTCACAAAAATCTTCCTTCAATGCACAGGACACAGCAAAAGCCATAGCTGTCTCTGATTGTGAACTACAGATTCTAATGAAGTTGTAATTGCAAATACAAGTGGTAAATTTGACCTCTGTATTCAATTCTACACTCAGTTACTTGATGAGCATGTCAAAATTATATACACATAATGCGAGAAAAACAAATGACACTAGATTCAAACTGAAGAAATCACTAGAAAGTCTTCATGGAAAGAACATCAAACATTTCCAGGAAGTTCCTATAAAGGTAATTAATGATTTCAAAATGACATGTCTTATTTATGCCATAACCAAGATGTTAAAATCTCTCCCTAATGATTAGAGAAGGTTTCAATGTAGTAATACCTTGAAATTATTACAGTCAAGTTAAGTATTGTATGTTCTTGCATTTAACTATATGGCCCCTAATACCAATACATTGATTATATCACTGTTTAAGCTCCGATTTACTACATATTTACAGTTTAAGCTCTTGGTAGCATGTGTCAATTTGTGGCGGCAGTTTGCTTCCTTGTATAAAGTTCTAATTTAAGACTGATGAAAGATCTCCACTATGGACATCACTGCTTGCTTTTAGCATCTGCAGTGACAGCTCAAGCAATCAGAAGTCACAGAAAACACAACTTCCCCCCTAAAATGCAAAGGAAAATCTTCTACACCTTCATGTCCTGCACGTGTTTACTTCCGTCACTTGAATTTAACCATTGCAAGATGATAGCAAAGTTACAGCAAGTGCTGTTAGTCATTTCCAAATGCCTTTCAAATTTGACTTCGTGAAATGCCTAACACAAACATACGGGCTTGCCCCCTACTTTAACTAGTTGCTACATTAACAGATTTGCACCTAAATGAGAAGAGGTAGGCATTGCACAGCTAGAACCAGTTGTAGTGACAGAAAGGGTATGTGCAGCAGGGAGAGACTAGAAAACACGTTAACATTCCTCTAAAAGCCATAGCCATGTCATTTAATTAAATATTACCACCTATGTAGGTATTTGACAGCTTGTGAAACAGCTGAAGGTGTAGCTGAAAGCAAGGAAGAAAAGAATTCCTAGCTAAACTAGTCTGTACTGTCTCAAGAATTATGCTAAAATCCAGTAGCTTTAAAAGGCTGGATTCTTCTTTCTTCTCTGTTGCTCAGCTTTGGGCTACTTAGTGCCATTCACTCCTTTCCACTCACGCTGATGCTCATCTAAGTGGTTTGAGAGCCACCTGGCTCACTCAGCCAACAGAAGTCCTCCTACTTTTCTTTTGTAGAAAACAATTTTGTGCTGGACTGAACCAAATCACCAAAATGTCTGCAAAAACACCACAGCTTGTACAAAGTAGGCAGCACGAAGCAAGTGGGGTGAAGAATCTCTTCTCTTCAGTGCCAGTGACCTTCAGGATTAGCTCTTTTGTAGATCCACAGCTTCAGTGTGCTCCAATGCAGTTGGCTACAGGGCAGCCCACTGCAATTGCACCGAGGGCAAACAGCAAGGCTGCTCTGCAGAGCTGGTGCCCTGCTGGCCCTGGGGGAGCAGGCAGCTACGCTCGGATGTGGTGACAGCTGAAAAACCACTCTTGACCTTTAACAGTACAAAAGTAAGCTGGGGCTTAGGTCCAAGGGCCTTATGTGCATGCTGTACACAGCTTGTGTTTCAAAGAAATTTTTTAATGCACGTCTGCACATTTCTTAGCAATCATACAAATGCTGTGGAAATAGCAACAATCCTACCTGGTCTAAAAAACTGCTGCAACAACAGTGGATTCACACATCTCGCTTTTCATTATTACCCAAGAAATGTTTTTCCAAGAGTAAGGAAAAAAAAATCATTTGACTGCATAGGCACACATCATTAATCTGACTCTTGTGTTGTCAGAAATGCAGCCAGCTACTCATATCGTGTCTCCGTAAACAGGACTGAGAAACACTGGATCATAAAAATTGTGTGGTTTTTTTTTCCCCCAACACCGTGAACACCTACACTTTATTATATACATACTTAAACCACACAAAAAAAAAGCAAAAAAAAAAAACCAACCCCATCATCAAATAAGTAACTTTTTTCTCTCTTGCCATTGCAAAGTCAAAATTCTCAAATTGGTTCTAAGGTTTGTCTTGGAAGGTGAAAACAGCATGGAACTGAACTCAACTCCAAAGGTAGGTCTTCACTATGTAACATAATTATACACGTGTATTAAAATACCATACAAAACAGGAACCACAGGACCTCCAATATGTGGAAAATGAATGGAAAAACAGGGCTACATTTTATATTCAAATAGCCTAGCCTGATAATCACAAACAGCTCCTGTCCAACTTCATGAAGAACGTGTTTTAAACACAAAGTTGTCTCATTTCAGTTATTAGCTGAATAAAAGCTCATTCTGCAGCCTTGCTTTCATTAAAAGAATAAGCTTTGGGAAATAAAATGATGCCACATAGCCACACCTACAAAAACACCAAGACAATTCCAATTTTTTTCATTTTTCCCCTCAGTCAGCCAATTGTAGGACTTCCAATTTACTTTCTGAAACATTAATTTTGTGTTCTTATGTTAAGAAAAATTAAACAAGAGCTACGTAAAATGCTCAAGTACAGA